ATTCTCTTGCTCTCAATTTTACTCTCTATGTTTATTTCTATTTTCACTTATTACTTATTTTAACATAGTTTGATCTCTTTTTGCCCGAATTTGGTTTATGTCTTTGATAATCCAAACCTTCAACCAACTTTCCGACTGTTAGTCTGTTCCCGTACTGCAGGATTTAATCAACCCGAGGTCAATCTAGGTATGCAAACTAAAGATTTCTTAACACTCTTTCGTTTAACATTGATAGTTTAATATTTCATTGTGTTTAAGTTAACTAAATTCGACTTTGCAAACAGGTGGCATCCCTATTCAAAATATTTACAAATTACTACCTTCTTAAACTCTTTTCGTCTGGCGTTCATATGGTAATACATATTTCTATTACTTCTTAATTCAAATTGAATTTAATTTTTTAAACCGACGGCAACCCTCCTAAAGTTAAGTTAAGAAAAAAAGCTTTTCAATCCCATCTCGATTAATACTCATTTGGTAATAATTGGTTTAAGTTCTTAAATATTTTGAGTTAATTTTTTAAAAAGGTGGCAACTCTTACATCTCCACAGCTCAGGTTCTTTAATTTTATACCTCACTTTTTAAAATCGAACCAACGGTTCGCATCTAATGGCATTTATTATTAAATAATTTGTGTTAAGTTGTTTAACAGGTGGCAACTCTTAAAAAAAAAATAAAACAATTTGCACATCTACAGGTCAAGCGCTTTAATTTGACAACCTATTTGTGAAAATTAAGCGAACGGTGCAGATCTTATGTCCGCCTAAGTTGGACTAAGAGGAATTTACCGCAATATGGGTGTCAGGCGGAACTGGTTTAAGAAAGTTACCATTTGTTTAAAAAGTTAAATTAATAACTTTAATTACCTGAATAACTTCTTACAATATGGGTATCCATCGGAATGGTTTTGAAAAGGCTTCATTTCTGAACTAAATGTAAACGGTTTTAACTTGAAAATATTTTGAAGACTGCTAAAAAACATTTGAAGATCTAGGTTTTGGCTGAGTTTAAGTATGTTGAAGAAGAATGTAGCACCCAGACATTTGAGGTACTCAGCACAGCGGGTGAGAGGAATCTGTATAAAATAAATCTTGACGTAGAATGGACTTTTTGCTAAACAGCCAAAAATAAAAAAAAAAAACAAATGTACTACGCGTTTATACAATGAAAAAGCCGCACTTGCACTTGCCACGCCTTCAGCAAATCCACACAACTGCTTATTAAAGGATTAACTAACTACAAGGCGCCTGCGCAAGGTGCTTAATTACATAGCCATTTGTTTTCCAAGCGGAACCTTTGTCATTACACAACTTCTGAAAGAAATTAAACTGCAAATTACAATGTAGCGCACATTTCGTGGCCAAGTAATTTTGAGATATCTACGTACAAAACCACACACACCAATCTATCACAGTCCATTCAATTTTTTGTACATTTACGAGTACTATTTGACTTTGCCAACTGCCACAAGCAATCAATTGTGGCACTACGCGTTGTGATGGCACCAGAGTGCCACACCTACCCAGACAGCGAAACTAATGCTAAAATTGCACACAACTCCCAAAAACAAAAAAAATAAAAAAAACGAAGTATCAATGAAATGTACGAGAATGAAGTAGCGGCGCAAAGGCTCATTGGAAAAGAGAATGCCAGATGACTGCAACCACTCCACTCCAATAGCTAATGTTATATGCACTTTTAGTGTTCCCTTGACGTGTCGCATGTGTTGCAAGTTACTTTTGCTTCAGATGAACTGCAATTGTCCGACAAGCAAGCCAATAAAAAAGTTTACAAAGACAAGCACAAACATGCTTCGAACTTAGATAAAATTAGAGGGGTAAAGTGAAACAGCGAAAGTTGAGTGGCAAACGGCTTGGCAGACGGCGACGCCAAAAAAAAAAACATTCACACTGGCAGCGGTGCGAACATGTGTCATGAGAGTCCTTTTACCCATCATCAAGAGCTACAACAAAACCAACAACGCTAAAAAGCGGACTGGCTGTGTGTCATTTCTAATTGACAGACTTTCTCAAAGGATCACATGTGAACATGCCACAACGAAGCAGAGGGGACTGTCAGCGGGGATGCGCTGAATCAACCGGTCAACATTCGGTGCAGTGCCGGTGTGCGCGACGCCAACACTGTTCAACTGATCGTGATCATAAAAATTCGACTTAATGAACGTGTTGCAGCATTGTCGCCGCCGCCAAAGCCGCAAGTGATCATGCGACATGCGCAGAGTGCGCTACATTCTTTTGAGTTCACCGTGAATGCGTTGGTAAATGATGTACACCTCAGCTATACATACATACATACATACATATGTACTTATGTTTGTACTACTCACACCAACGGCATTCATTGCCAGTAGTCAGAGATTAGATATGAGAAACAAAGGGATACACTATTGCGACTGCTGGCGCACTGTATTCGGCCACTTGATTGACGTCAGCCGGCTGCTGTTGCGCGGCTGCACGAAAGCAATGCGGATACTCTAGCTGTGCAGCTACACACTCGAGCGCAAAACGAAGTGTCCACGACTGCACAATTTAATGTTCTAAGGGTGGGTAACTCTGTAAATTTTCGTGTGCTGACTCAGTAACTCCAACTCACTTTAATGAGTCAGCACAGTGAGCTGGCACAAGTGTGCTATCGCACAATTGGTGTTCATTTGCAAAATAATTCCCTACTTAGCTTTGCTTGAGAGTTGTCACATAAGAATCTGTTAAATGTGCTATGCATGTAAGCGGTTACCCAACGCATAGCACTTCACATGTAGAATTCTGTTTGGTTTTGATTTTTACGTAAAAATGGTATAGCAGTGCAAGTATGCATAACTTGGCTATTCGCCTTGCTTCTTTTTAAATTTGGTAGTCGTATATGGTGATGGTTAGTCTAGTAATGCCATCTATTATGGTACTCTTTGGAAGATCGTATTGTGTGAATGTGTGAGCTCATCAATTGAGTTACCACATCGACACAGTTCTAAACAATGCAAGCCGCACCGAGCTATGCAAGTGTCAGCACATCAACTGAGTTACCATATCGACTCTGTAGCACACTGAGCTATACATTGTCAGCACATAAACTGAGTTACTGAGTTACAAATTTTTTTAAAGGTGAGTCTGAGCGTGCGGCACAGTTCTAAGAGTCAGCACAGTAACTCAGCACAGTGCTGAATTACCCACCTCTATAATGCTCTATTAAAGGCTCCCATTACGATAACAGCGCCGAGTGCTCAAGTGTGCGCTTGAAGTTGTTGCATTTGAAGTGCAGTAGTCGGCATAGATAAGAACGCGTGTGCGCTAGTGGCGCTCTTGAAGTATTGCCGCAACAAATGCCTCGAAAGACCAAATGATGCCGATAGACAGTCGGCGGGTAATGGCTGGCGTGGAGAAAAGGAATGCAGCGGTCTAACTATGTATGTATGTATGTACATTAGATCATCCCAGNATATGACATGCAATCAACGCGCTTTAATTATGTACGCTTAACGACAGATATTTTGTTTGATAAAAAATAGCAGTGAGTTCTTGAAACAACTGGAAATAGTACTGAGGGGAAAGCATGAATTTAATTTTTTTTAATTTAAAACAATTGTTTTCCATAGCAAAAACTCATCTTCTTGATTGTGAGAAAATTCTCCTTAATATGCTTCCTGTTTTCATTTCCTTTTTTCGGGGCTGTCTGTCTAATTTACTTTGGTGTTTCCCTCCTCAGTTAAAATTTGTTAGTCTTTGCTGGGCATGGGAATTTGGAATTTAGATATCGCTAGCTTAGAGTGAAAAGTTGCTAAGTACTAATTTAAAAATTTTGCAGGAGAAGAAAACAACTTCTTATAGAGGGATTCGATTTTTAAAAAGATTTCGTACTATTTTGGTCGTATCGCATTTTCAGACTTCTTTTGGACTAAGCAAATTTTTATTTCATTAAATATAAGCGAGAAAACATAAAACAAGGACCTTTTATCGAAATAATGCTTTTTTAATTTTTCTAGCCAAAATATCAAAATATGAGTTTTCATAGAAAGTGGACTTAGCTACCTTTCACTCTAAGCTAGCGATATGTACACATGTACTATATTTATGTGAGTACATAACTACAAAAAAGAAAACGAGTGTATTGAGCTACACATACATACATATTTATGTATGTAACTGTACGTGTGTTGTGGGNGGTATAGAGGTATAGCGGTTCAAAAGTTACAACACTTCAAAGTTGAAAGTGGATACATTTGTACACGGGTGTGTGTTCTAGCATTATATATGCAAACATATGCACACAATCTTAGGGTTAATCATATTTTCAAAGTGGACATAAATTCGTTCCAACGAAATAACAGTTAAATCACAATTTAACAAATCCATACGTTATAAGAAATTCTAATTCAACCAGGGACCAAAATAACAGTCATCTGCTTTTTTAGTTGTTATAAAAGTCCGGGGCGAAATATTGGCGTAGAGTTAATATGTTTCAGAAATATTTTGGTGGAAGTAGTAAAATATGTATAATATATTTTATAATTGCGGTTGAAAACCACGATGTTTTTTTGGTGATGCACCCTAATGTACATACATGCAGATATTTATTAAAAAAATCGTTATAATATCCTAAAGTACAAAACCTCGTATCGACATTTGCTGCCAAAAATTGGATTTACTCACACAAGCTCTTGGCTCAATCCATATCCATTCGTCCTGAAATATACTAACCAGAAATGCGATTGGTTTATGAACAAAGAGAATCAATTTGAAATATGAGTGTTTTTACTCTCTAGAAAATAATTTATGCAACCACACATACGTGGTTTTGCATTATCTGCATTGCAAGCATTAAAAAGTTATACTCTCATTCTCTCCGTGGGCAGCAGTACGCTATTCGCTTTGCAGCAACATTTTATTTGTTTAATTTTATTTCGATTTACAAAGAGAAACTCACGAGTGATTACGCCTGCTGATCGAAAGATATACTTTCAGACTTAACCCTCTGCCCAGCGGCACTTAAGCTGACGTTGTCGGCTCTGGCACCGTGTAATTGTGTAAGTTACTATAGAAAAGATTTAGAAGTGCATTCTTTTGTCCACACAATCCACGGAAGTCATCCAAATCGATGACCCATGTCATGGCGCCAGCATAGCCCTTTTCCTTGATAAAGTCCATTTTAATTTGCACTGATTCCTCGTTTTCGTAGCCAACCCATTGAGTGTCCTTGTACGCGTAGGGTACCTTTCCTTCATCATCCCATTCAACGGTCCATCCCAAGGAGGCATTTTGCACCTGGGTACAGATTTCGTAATAGGCTAGGAAGCCGGCTTCTTGAGTGTAAGCTCCTGCATTGCCCGCTCCAGTGATGGTAGTGCCGAGGGAGTAGTTATGGTTGGATGCGCTGAGTGTAAAACTGCGACCATAGAATGGCACACCGACAACTAATTTATTTGCGGGACAGCCCGAATCCTCCCATAGTGCAAGAGCGTCATGCTACGGATGGGGAATTCCAAGGTGAATGTCCTATTT